GTGTAGAAAAATCTATAGGCTTCAGAAAAATATGATTCTAAGTTTGTTAATTTTCTTATGTAATGTACTTCCTAGAAAAAATATGTTTCATGCATGAGCTGTGGGAAAATTTTGAGGTGTAGTTCAAGTATCTTTAATGGTTGATTTTTGTTATTTTAGCTAGAGAGCAAACTTTGTATAAAACATGCATGTGATAAATTTTGTACAGTCATTGTATGCTATGAAGAACATAGGAAAAATGCTAATTCTGTTGTTTGACACTTTTCACAGTACAAAGTATTTTCATGTTCATAATCATGCCGTAGCTTGTCATTTTTGTGTAGACTATTTACTTATCCAAACGCCATGAAAATTTTATGGTAGTCTACTTAGAGTAGTACTATGCTACTGTAATTTTCTTAGATTTTTATAAGCACCAGAAATATAGGTTGCTGTTGTAGCCCTAGTTTAAAATGAAATAAAATAATCCTCTTTAATGCAAGTTAGTTAATAATGTTAGCTTTGGTATATCTTTGAAGCATTTAATAAGATGTGTTGACTTAACATATTAGTAGTAGAAGAGAATGCAGTAGATGACATGTGCTTGTAGTATATTTTCTTGGATGATGTTGACTACCTTGCATTTAAGCATATCCCTTGTCTTCATTTCATCCGATGCATCGATTGCATACGCACTTACGCACATTGCATCATACAGGATCGCAAACCGAGAACCCAAATCGTCATACCCGAGGAGCCCGAGGAGCATTTCGAGTGCAAATGCAGGAAGTGCCGTGGTTTACGAGGAGGACGTTGAGGAACTTCCGAGTGCCCGATCACCGTCCCGAGCTCCTTGAGAGAGGCAAGCCCCGAGCATTTTTCTCCCGGTTTGCAATGATTTAATTAAATGCTTTACTTTAATTGATGCATTACGTTTAGGAGTTGTTTGCAACCGCGTTCTTTGCATTATACCTTGATTACCTTTGTTATACTATATCCTTGTTACCACGGTATCCGATGAGTCAATGCTTAGTGGGCTTAGACCGGTAGAAGTCGGGTGATTTTCTCATCACTGCGAGCTATAGGTGGTTACCGGATCTCGCTTGGATGACTATGAAGTCATGGTATAACTAAGTGTTAAATGAAGTTGAGACCGGACGAGACTTGCGAGTTTTGAACTGTAGTGTTTCCGTCAGTCGATTATTAAGACCGACCGTTGTTGGGCCTCGAGTCATGTTGAACGATGCCTTACATTTAGTCTGGCCGGATAAAGTACCTTCCGACCGCTGGTCGGGAGATTTTTCGGGCGAGTAGATTGCCCGCAGCAAGACCGTGTCTTGGAAGCAGGTGTGGTAGGACACGGGCGAGATGATAAGACCAAAGTGCGATCGGTCGGCCCCGGTACATGTGGTTCTGCCAAACTCGAGATACCGGAAAGTTGACTCGGTGATCAATATCTCACTTTAGCGGGTTAGTGAGGTTTGTGTAAGGAATAAATCACCACCGGTTAGAAATCGATTCGAATCGCCATCGCTCCTAGATAGTGAGCACTTGACTTGAGTTACTTCATCGTAGTAAATGTCTATGGAACACTTGGATAGTTATAATGAATATGACAGTTTGTTAGTTGTTTAATGATCATTGGTTATCATTATCTCGCTTAATCATATATGCGCTCTAGTATAGGTGCAAATCTAGTCGACAGTGTTAATAATAATTAACTTGACAATAATGCTTTTAGAAAGGTTCTTGAAATGCTAAAAATGCTTCTTTTGCAAATGAGTCAGCTACACTACTATAAAGCCTTCATAATCCTTGGTGTCATTTATTTTCGGTTATGTCGGGTAAGTCTAGTGAGTACCTTCTCGTACTCGTGGTTTTATTCCCACTTGTTGCGATGGGCGTATGTATTACTGGCTCTCGTATCAACTACCTTTATCCTGCGATGGGTGATGCTTAGGACCATGGGCATGGTCATTCCTTACGCCTCGTCTAATGCTTTTGTTGGAGATGATCATTCACGGCACTATATTTGAACTCCGCGTGTGTGTGTGTGTGGTTTGAACAAATGGCTTCCGCTACTTTTTATTCGAATCGGGTTTTGTAATAACTATGTTTAAACTCGATGTATCCGAGATGCAAACTTTTATGTAATATGTGATGGTGACCGCTAAACTTATTACGATCTTGGCTGGAATGGAAGTTGGTTTGAAATCCTTCGTGATTTCACGGACTACCGGGTTATACGGGCTTAAGTTTGCTAAATCGTATGCTCTGGCAGATGATTTTCTTACTTAATTTCGTATAATTGGTCGGTTCTGTTACACCTTTCCACCAACTGGTAGGGCCCGTTTCTTGTGCCCTCCTAACACGTCAATGTCTTGACCCCTTGTACATGTTTTTCTTCTCCAAAACATATGTTTTTGTATTCACAAATCTCCATGTCTATTTATTTATCTTCTTGAATTTGTGTAACGTGGAACCTTAAAATCATGATTATTAAACATAAAAAGAATACATTTGACCTTTTTAAAAAAAATGCAATGGTGTCCACGGTACACACAAGAATAGATATTATTACAAGTTATATATACAAAGTATGTCTAAAGTAAAAATTACCCATTATGTTAAAATGAAGTTTATTTACAAATCTCATGTCTATGTCTAAGAATTTGACATTGTGATTTGTTATGTTATTATGATCTAAATGCATGTAAGCATTGAAAAAATAGGGGACGTAGATAGATTGATATGTTATATATTGTATAAGATGTCGATAGTGTTTGCCCCCTCTCCCACCCCCACGTTTACACAAAAATATCTAGTTCCGCCGCTAGGTTTATGTATTTCAATTTCACCTTTGAATTTTTGTGTTAATTGAGTTAGGAGGAAGAGGCTTAACTCACGATTGGGAAAAACAAACTACCATGTTTATGGAGCCGCTAGTCATCTACGAGCTTTCATTTTCTTTTTGTGTGTGGCTCTCAGCTCTCTACATGTTGTCAAGTCCTTAAGGATTTATCTTTGGTTTTTTTTTCAAACTAAAGAACTATCCATTGTTGTAACTAATGCAAATGAACCTAGCAGGGCCTCTATTCTCTCATGGCAAAAAAAAGCAAGTGGAGCCCCTCCACCGCCGCCACCCTCGACCCCTTCTCCACCATGAGGGCCACTCGAGCTCATGATGACAAGGAGCTCCACCTACTTGTGCATGGGTAGATTCATCGCTCCCTCTTCACCTGGGCTAGTGGCTCCCTCTTCCTCCTAGTTGTGCCCTCTCTTGGTCAACAAGCACTGGCTACTGTGGTTGTGGTGGTAGAGGCGATTGCGGAGGAGGTGGCTACAGTGGTGGTTGTGGTGAGTTGGCGAGCTCGCGGGCCTAGGTCTAAGTCGTCAAGGTCAATGTGATGCTGACACTACTGGATTGCAAGAGCTCCAGTAAGTTCAAACTCTCTCTTTCTTCCACCAGCCGATAAAAACTTCTTGCCATAAAAATAACTATGGATAGGGGAGGGTATTGTGTCTCCTATATTTAACTGAGACATGGGTGTATTTTGGTGATTACTCAAAAATTCTAGATATTGGTAATAGGTTAGGTAATCTGTTAGAGACCAAGAAATTACCTATATGATAGCTTTTTGGTATCGAGGATCTAGTACGTGAGTATAGTCCAAATGTGTACATGAATAACGTATTTAACCTGTCGGATGTTGATCTAATTGCTTTGAGACGGTCAGTTGAGTGTGAACGAGGATTTTAATTAGTCATCTTGGGATTTGACACTGAGATTAGCAAACCAAGCAAGCATAGGATTATGAGTAGAGTAGCAGTATAACAAGGGCGTATTCGATTTTGAGAGATTCCTTTTTCAGGCAAAGCAAACAGTATGTTGTATGTATGTATACACGATTGGGTATACACACTCGTACTCACCCACCCTACGGATATTGTGTTGGTTGGTGGTGGCTTGGGTAAGAACGTCGAATAATGTGTCACTACCACATGTAGTACAATGCAATTATCAAGCAGGGGACCTCTTCGATGTATAGAATCTAGTCGATGGGATGGAACTGATGCAAATTTGTCCTTGTCTTTAATCTTTTCCACAGGTCAATTGTCCCTACTTTTGCCAAGAAAGGTGTCACCCTCAGGCGTCCATATCCACCCAGTACCTGCTCCTCTCATGTACAGTAACTATAGAGCAATCATTTCAGGCTTGTGCCTATTGATTGACACGCTATAAGCAAACAGTCAAACTGAAGTACTAGCTGCAATCGATCGCTAATCGCTAAAAGTAAAAAAAGTGTCAGTGGCATGGCATCGACACCGTCCAGAGTGCCGGGCTGGGGTCAAGGAAACCTACCTACTCAGGATACAGCGATAAAAGAGGATCACAAGCCTTGAACCAGCTTTGATCTCATGATCTCATCTGATCCCGTAATCCACGCACGCTTCGACTGGTCTGGCCTGGGCCGGGGCATCTGCCGCGTCGGGCACGAGGCACGCCTGCACGCCAAGGCAGATTCGTTCAACCCACACCCAAGGCGAGGCAAGAGCAGATCGCCGGCGCCACGAATCTGATGCTCCCGGCTCCCGTCTTTGTGCTCATCGTCAGCTTTTGTACGGTCTGTCGGACCCAGTACGTCTGTGTCTTTGCGTGGAGGAAAATTCCACAGGCAGCCAGCCAGCCAAACCTAAACAGAAGACCGCAGGACACGCACAAGCTTTTACCATGTGCTCTAGCACTAAATCCACCAGCCAAAACAATGCGACCGCACACAGAACCAAGAGTCTCGGCAGAACCGAGAGCGCTGCTACTAGCATCCATTGAGACGAAAGATTCGACCAGAGTCTCATACGCAGACGACCAAAAATTTACAGCAACGCACAGCAGCAACGTTTAAAACAAAAGAGCCAAATACTCCAGCGTAATGACGTTCACAGGCGTTGACTGTTTATATGATGCTCAAGCATGTGTATGTTCAGTGGGTGATTTGACTAGGGCACATCTTGCTAGTGAATCACTTTGCCTTGGGTTTCTCCTCCGCACTGGCCTTGGCAGTCGTCTCCTGGCTCGCTTGCACGTTGGCAGGCACAGGCTGAATGCGTTCGTAGCGCTTCCTGGTCAGGGTTTCCCCCTTCAGTGCGGCGACGTATCTGTCGTTCGTGTCCTCTTTCCGTTGTAGCTCGCCAAGAAACTCCGCCAGTCTCTCCCTGTTTACTTGCCCCATCATCTGTTTGACACCAATTTGTCATCAGTGACCATGGAATCACAAATGTAAACATTTGATAGCACAAGAAAACAACTTGCATACAAAGTGGAAAGAAAATAAAAGGATGCAAATGAGTAAATGATTAAGCATAGCAAATTTTATTTGTTTGGCAAGTAGTAAACCAGTAATACAATGTGTCATAAACACCTCCCAAGAAAAATGGCATGTCTGCTAGTGCCTTTCATGCTAATTAACATGCACCACATAAGCATCAGTAATGGGCGTAAGCTGGAACTTTCAATAAAGAAGTTTTCAAATGGTATAAATAGTAATCATTCCTAGGCAGGCAACTATAAGCTACTGATTCAACATGAATCCCAGGTAACAAGAATAGTTAACTATTACTAGGTGTTCTATTCAATTTCTACAGCCCCGAATGCAAAAACTAAGGAAATCTTCAAAATGAGCAGCGCATCTATAACTCTATCCAAACACAGTAACACCAGCAAGGAGCTGAACATACTGCATCTAGACAGCCAACCATAAAGCCCCTCCTCAACTGTCCACTACCTGTCTGTGCTGGTCATTGGTTCATGGTGGTCAGGACTCATGAACTCAGGATTCCCAAAATGGATTGCTTGTCTCTCTACACTGTTAATTTGTCAACAGGATTCAAGCTCTCAAAAAACAAGCAAGCACTTTTGCACACATTAATGAACTTCCCATCGTCCCCACCCCACCCCCCTTAATTCTCCAAAACCACTTGTTTGTTCCCTTAACTATGATTTGATCGTCGAGCTCCTCAAAACTGGAGTCTGAGAAAGCAAGAGCTCAGGCTGCTAGATGGTTAGTTCCATTGTTTAGTGGACTATAGAAACAGAAAAACAGCAGTGAGCCATCTGATTTGGTTTTGGGTACGCCATGGGAACAAAGCTCCACAGCAGCAAGCTTCTTGGGTTGCGCAGATGAATTATTTTACACAAATGTGCGGATTCACATCATGAATCAGATGAAATTTTGTTTTCATGAACCAAAAACCAATAAACCACCATGGCGCAAGAGCCAACAACCATGCATACCTAAGAAAGCTAGATAGCACTATCAAGACATACATAACACAATTTGAATGCTAAATGCTCCAATATTAGACACAGCAAATTTTGGCATCTGCGGTTATGAGGAAAGCCATCAACTCTGCCAGTCCTAATATGAATAATATAATATCCAAAGTAAAACAAATGGTCAAATGGACTGACCAGCACCAGCAGCAGAAGAAAAAAACAAAAATAGTGGCAGGTGTATTAACATACTCTCTACAGAAGACCAGTATCTTCCTCCTGCAGCCTGCTTATACGTAGACATTGCTGCAATAGCTCTAAAAGCAAATTTGAACATACAAGAGAGTTGACTACTGAAACAAATACTATGTGTCTTGAATATTTGCTTCACGTCTTGTAACTTAATATATTGATTGACTCCTCAATATTACTAGCACTTGATTCATACACTACCTGGTTATTGGGAATAAGCATTGTAACAACAGGGCACCCCTCGACTTCAACATGAGCATAACAATGTCTTTAGCCAAAATTACTAATACACATAGATGTTGAGGTACCCTTACCCTAGTTCAGTTCCATCAATCCCTCAAACATGCTGCCGTGTATTTGAAATTCATGAATTTCAAGTGAGAAACTGATTGAACATGTAAACTAGATCGACCAATCAACCTTAGATCCCCAAACAGTGATCTCAAATCGCAGAGCATAATTTATAACAGTAACAATCAGTAATAGCATCCATCGATCACGGTGGGATCTGTACGAGGGAAGCGCTAGCACGCACCGTGGTCTCGGGTCGGGCCGTGGAGCGAAGGTGGGCCTCGAGCTGCTCGTTGCGGGAGCTGGTTAGCTGCATCACGCCGTAGCCGATAACGCCGGGGACGACGCCGCACAGCGCCGCGAAGGTGAAGAAGAAGGGCTTCGAGTCACGCGTCCGCCGAACCAGCCATCGCCACCCCGTGCTCTTCTCCCACAGGATCGACATCTCCCACCGGCCGCTGCCGCCGCCGCCTTCCTCTCTCCACGCGATGCTCTAGTTCCTTCCCCTTTCCGCAGACTTCTCGTTTAGGTTTTCTGCCAGTCTGTTTCTCTTCTTTTCCTTTTTTTTCTTTTTCATTTGAACATATTATTTAATTTTTTATTTCTTTATTAGTTTCTTTTTGTTTTGATCTGGTACCGCTGGGGCAAGCCAGAACCATCCATAATACAATTTAGCAACCGTCGACAACTAATGTTGATGCCACATACACGTGCAATTAAGATATTTTTTCCCACCGTATACATCTAGGGCCTGTTTAATTTCTGGCCCTGCCCAGCACGGTTGGCCGGCCTGGCCCTGCAACGTCGTGTGTTTGATTTACTTGTCCAGACAAGTCCCGTTCAATTGAGATCGTGTTTGATTTTTTTTTTTTTTGCCTAAATGGCTATGGCTACTCTGCACTAGAAATCCGGTAGCCTTTCATCGAGCACCCTGTGAGAGTGTCGCATTGATGGCGAGAGGCGTGTCCCTTCCTCCGCCCGAGTGCCATTGATGGCGCATGTAGCCGGCATCTCGCCCGACCTTCCCTCTCGATCCCCCGCCGAGAGGCCTCTTTCGCTTTTTCCCGGCATCGCAGCGCATCACCATGTCTACCTAGCTACTCCTCCTGCCGTCTTTTGGGCGCACACAACTTTGAGCGCTGGCACCTTGTCATCGCCTTGTCCGCCGCCGCCACCATTAGCGACCTTCACTCGAGCTCCGCGATCTCCCGTCCTTGAGTCACCTTGTGCCCTCGTTTTCGTCTTCGTCTCGATCGCGAGCCACACCATCACCTGACCCCTCTTCCAACCCTTGTGTGGGAAGGAGCGGGTGGGTGAGAGACGCTAGGGCGCTTTGTGGGCGCGGGCCGGGCAAAGGTGCGGCGGATGAAAGTTGCGCTCAAAGAATGAGCGGAGGCTTAAAGCCTAATGGCGAGTTCTTTCTACGACAGGTAGAAGCGGCTCCACGTAGGGGAGATATTTCACACAAGGCGATGCACTACCCTATGTTGGTGTGCTCTCTCGAGGCTAACGCCACACCAACCAAGCATGCAAGCTAGCTACACTAAAGAGCTTGTCAACTAGTTTACTGATAAAGTAAAGAGAGTGATCAAGAGGGTTATACCACCGTGTAGATGAATGAACCAATGGATGTGATGACCAATCACCTCGGAATCAATGATGAACACAATGATTTTTACCGGGTTCACTTGCTTGCCGACAAGCTAGTCCTCGCCAGCCGGTTCACGCTACCGATTGGCATCACTCGCCAAACGCGATGGCGTGGTCGTCGAAAGGTCAAGAACCCTCACAATCGATCGAGTCGAGACAATCACGGCGCTGGTGACCAATCACTCAAGCAATGCCTCGCTCACTATGATGATGAATCAATGAGTCTCCAAGCCGCCATGGCCCCAATGAAAGCCGCCGCGTATACCGCCATCACCACCTCGATCTCCCTCTCCGCACGGATTCACGCCACGTTCCCGCTTCAAATGCGGTGGCACGGTGAGTCGAGACTCACGGAGAAGAAGGAGCGGTGGCCGGTGGGTGAGAGACGAAGGAGTAGGAGGTGACTCCATCTTGCCCACAAGTGCCCACACACAGACCGGACGCCAAGCACATCATTCGACCAATTCCATTTCAACTCTTACTTCCGGGCTCAAGTAAACAAGAATTTTGAACTCTAGGAGACGTTCATTTTCCGGTGCGAGAGAGAGAGACCCAAACGATTTACAAACACCTTGCCACGTGGTAGCCACAAATATTATCAAGGGTGTTAGCACTCCACTAGATCCTAAATGGATGCTAAGCCAAATGAATCAAAGCCGGTTGCCCATCTTAATAGTATGCGGAGGCGTGAGGACCACCAAATTATACCTTTGCCTTGAGCTTTTTGTTTTTCTCCATATCAAACAGGCCCCTAGGGTCTCTATGTGAGTTGGTGGTTATTCAAAGGGTCTCTAGCTGAGTTGGTCGACCTCGTAAGAAAGATGACACCTAGTATGGATCATATGTGATTTTGGTGGTTGATCGACAACATGACCAAATGGACTAATATGTTTGCTAGTATAAGGTTAGTTTATTTAGATGCAAGGATGGATTTAGACAAAGACAACTTCAGGATCAAAGTGATCAACACCTCAAGGAAGAACAAGGAGCTTTGTTGAAGATCAAAGAACACATGAAAGAAGTCCAAGACATCAAGTAGACAAGCTTGGACGAGGAGATGGAAGAAACAAAGCTAAAGGAGTGCTGCACAGGAGCACCGGAATTATCTGGTGGTGCCCTGCATGGTAGCACAGAGTAAAGGGTTTGCTAGACCAACATCATCCGCATTGCACTCACCGGAAAAGTCTAGTGGTGTTGATTAGTCTGCAGTACAGCTTAGGCTAGGCCAGCTGTCACGTGTTCATAACCGTGACAAGCACGTGGTTGTTCGTCGAAAGTCGGAAGTATGGGTCTTCAGTGGTTTGGGTACTAAAAAGGCAAGGGAGACAACAGTTTATCATGGTTCGGGCTATCGAGGCCCTACATCCAGCAGTGAGGTGTTCTTCGTGTTCAGGAGCACCCAAATCGGGGGGGGTTACAATGGAGGAGAATGAGAGTTTGGCAGGGAATCGCTCGGTGCTATCCTATAGCTCGTCGGCGGTGAAGTTCTTCCCATCAAGTAAGGGACCGACCCTCTCTCTTGCTGGGTTGCCAGGGGAGGAACTCGCTACCGTTAGTCTCGGTTGCTCTGTCTAGCCGATGGTTCTACTGCCCAATCGATAGCCGATGGTTCTACTGCCCAATCAATCTCTTTCTCTAGAGCCGGCCTCCCCTAAAAGGTCCTAATTAAATGGCTAGAGGGGGTGAATAGCCTAATAAACTTTCTACAAATTTACTAGAACAACTTGTTAGACAATAAGATTGCAAAATAGAAATTTGCTCTAGCTCTACTTTTACCACTCGCAAGCCACCTACAAAATGCTAGTGACTATGATCTCTATGTTGAAATCACACAAACAATCAAACTAGTGACTAAAGCTACTACTACCACTAGTGAGCTAGCAAAAGAACTAGTTACAACTAAGCTACTCAACTAGCTAATCAAACAAGCAAACAAGCTCTACACAATTATGCTAGAAATTGAATGCGCAAGAGATAGAGCTTTATACCGAACCGACAAGAGATAAAGTCAATCAATTTGAATACTAATATGACACAAGATTTATCCCCATGGTTCGGTTGCTTACTGGCAACCTACTCCACGTTGTCGCGATACACTCACTTGGTGGCTCGCACTAATATACATCACACCCTAGCCCACCACTTGCGCATCGTAAGAACTAAGACAAGAGAGGATCCACAAGCCACGAGTAATTCACAAGAGTTGCCTTTCACGATCTCCCATGGGGAATATGCACAACAACCCCTCACAAATCACCGATCAGAGCCGGAGACAATCACTACCCTCCGCTCAACGATCACCGCTACTCCAAGCTGTCTAAGTGGTGGCAACCACCAAGAGTAATAAGAAAATCCACAACAAACACGATCACAAGTGCCACTAGATGCCTCAACTCAATGCAAATGCACTTTGGATCATTCCCAATTTCACTAGATGATGATTCACTTGAAGGAGATGTGTCGGGTTCATAAACCCAGGGTCCCCAATGCGCCCACTTCCCAGCAAAAGCTCAGCCCAGCAGACGGCATTTACAACAAACGCGCGACTCCTGAGCCAGCCCAGATACCTAACGGTAGACCGGAAGAGCGATCCAGTCTCCGACCGGAAGGCCTGGCCAAGGAGGGGACGATGCTCGCTTCCGACTCCGAGCCGCTTTTCCGACCGGAAGGCCCAACCAAGGAGGGGACGATGCTCGTTTCTGACTCCAACCCGCTTCTCCGACCGGGAATACACCAAACCTCTGCTTACAGCTCTTCTCCAACCGGCGCGGTCAGAGTCGACTGGAAATGACAGACCGGGGACGCCCACTCGGTGAGGACCCAAGAATCAAGCGGAGCAGATAAGACAAAGCACTCAAGTCAACCGCAATACCGAGGACTGTACCCTACACACCTACAGGATAGTACCGCCAGGCAATACTAGAAGGGTGCTTTGCAACCTTTTAGACATGTCAGAACGCAAACAGTGTTGTGGGCACCAACATTTGTCCTACAGTATGGTAGGTGCCGACATTTGTCATACTAGAAGAACACGATGGAGCCTACCACATGCATCTAGGCGTCAACAGTATTGTGGGCGCTGACAAACCGTCTTGTACCCGATGGCGTGGGAAACAAGACTAGGTAGCACACACACACACTCTCTCTCTCTCTCTCACTTGTAAGGCCACCCCCTTCACCTATAAAAGGGGATGCGCTCTCTCCTAAAAGGACGTTCATCCCAACTCTCTCTCTCTCTGCTAAGCTTTAGACATTCTTAGCACTCGAACAACTCCACTGCTCTAGAACTCTAAAGCTATATAGAGCATACGTTTCAACACTTAGTGCATGTTGGATCTCCCGTCACTCTTGGCCCTTCGGTTCAGAGTTCGACCGGACCTTCGACACCCCCTTCTTATTCCCACTCATTTGTAACCCCACAGAAAACTTCGAGCACCTAGGATCAGGAATAAAGTCATCGACCGACTCAAATTGGATGTAGGGCACGTTGCCTGAACCATTATAAACCCTATGTCATTGAGTGCTAGGCCATATCCGATCACAACGTATGGCAAAACGACAAATATTTACTTGTTGGTCACTTTTCGCACCGACAAGATGAGTGGGAAAACTTTTCTTTAGCTCACAAGAGTGTTAGGGACGTTGGGGAGCCAAGATAGTCACCCCAAGCTAGTCAACTTGCTTAAATAGAAGCCATTCACACAAGCTAGCTGTTAGGGTGAGAAATCGGTCGTCAGACTGGTTGGCATGGGCCATCGGACCACAACAGGTTCGGTCCGACGCCCTACCGCGACC